GGGGGGGGGGGGGCTGTCCTTAATTCAAAATGCCATTAAGCAAACAGCCATAAGTCAAGGACTACCTATATCCCTACAAGCCTATTTACAAAGATTAGCAAAAATCTAATGCTGCTCTTCTCTCTCTCCAGTTTCAAGTTCTTCTTTGGCAAGAGATTTATACTTCCTCTTTCTGCTTCCCTATCAAAAAATTGAATTATGCACAAAGTTCTGGCAAATTCCCACATTGCGTCAAACCCTGGCCCTTCTTCCCTTCTTCCATCTCACTTGATGCATTTGATCCACTCGTCCTTCTCTTCCGTAGTGGGTGCCGAGATGCGGTACACGGTGTGGTTTCCTTCAACCACACGTCCATCTGCCTCAGTCTTGCATGCTTTGATGACCTGGTCCTTGTTGTCAGGGATATACAGCTCAAAGCAGTTCTGCAAGAAAAACACGTCAAAAAGACAAAGTCAGAAGTGTCAACCCACAGAATTCAGTTGACAGAAAAGTCACAAGTTTTCTGCAGCAAATATCAGTTCCATAAACCACCTCTCTGTTAACTGAAGTAGGAAGATACTAATTCAACACAGTTTCCAATGTCATCCAAAATGATAAATTATGATTACCAATTAAAGCATCAATATTAATCTTGAATCAATCACTAAGTGGCTTATTCCAAAACTGGTCGTATTAATTTCCAAATTCAGTTGAAACAGGAAACTATAGTTAAAAGGCTTCCCAAATTGATTGTTCCTCCATTGGAGGTCTGAACAAAAGAAAACTGGTAGGCATCGTCAAGAAGTGTCTTCATCTCTTCTTTTATTAAGCCAAAGTCAGGTTATAGCAATTTAGAGAAATGCTAACGTGGTACCTACATACTAACTCAGATACTACAAAGTTAATCTTCATTGGGCAACCGTTTCAGGATAGCGCATATCAGAGTTGTCATCTGGAGTGCTTGGGAACATGAGTGGATCACCTCTTTAAGGCAACTAAATAGTTTTTTCAGGCTACTATGCACACCTGGAAAAGGTACAACTGTATTAAAGAAGTACTGCTCCCTTTATTTATTTATTCACATTTTTGAACCACCCAATCTCCCTCTGAGAGGGACCCCTTTTTAGAAACAGTGTTAAGCTATTAAAATAATTTAAAGAAGTACTGTTCCCTTATGATTTAAAACACCTCTTACAAATCATTTCTGAAGTATGGACAGCCTTCGTAAATGGTTTGTGCACTAAAATAAAATATTATAAAAAGAAACTATCACCTTAAGAAATCATCTGATCAAGATCTATTGTAAATTAGATCAAAGGCAGCCAAGGTAGGGCTTGAAAATGTTGTGGGCCAATTCTCAGACAACTATTTTTTTTTCCTCTGTAGGATTTCCCTGAGCTCAATGCTTTGAGGGTGTCATGAATAATTTTCCTTCTCTCACTGAGTAATAGAAACAGAACCAGTTCTACAATGTGGGTAAGCATTCTTAATAACTCATATTTCAGGGTTACTACCACTTTTTTGAATTCTCTCTCATTTTCTTTTAGAGCATGCAGAACGGCAACAAATAAGGCCTTGGGTGAGTTTTCTGGGAGAGTCTTTTTGTTTTTTTAATAATGATCTTCCACCTTGGTGCATATAGTAGAATTTTCTTTTTTTGCTTCCCACAAGAAACTATGCTTTCAAGTTTTAATAACCATAGTGAAAAAACAAAAAGGAACGAAAGACTGCAAAAAGGCGACCTCACCCTATTTCACAACCGTCTCCAGGTTTACTATTACTCACCGGCTTCTTAGAATCTTCCACTTCACGGATGCTTAGATTTTCCAATGGAATAATGCCCCTCGGTTCCTTGTCCTACAAGATGGCCAGATTTGAATCCATAAATTATCTTCTCGGTTGTAACACATGTTACAAATATTCATTCACCGCAAAGCTAAGTGGGAAAAAACCTCCTCTCTTAGACAAATATATCCAGGCAGATGCTTTAAAGACAAAACTTTCAGTGAGGAGGCCAAAGGCATATATCAAGGGTCTTCAAACTTGGCAAGTATAAGACTTGTGGACTTCAACTCCCAGAATTCCTGAGCTAACATGACTGGAGGAGGAATTCTGGGAGTTGAAGTCCACAAGTCTTAAAGCTGTCAAGTTTGAAGACCCCTGGGCCATATATCATAATAAAGTAAGGAGAAAATGGCATGAAAAAGGACAACAAATATATTGAGGTACAATCTTTTCTGGTTTTTGGTGTGGTATTTGTGCTCCCCCCACCCATTCCAATAGTGAAGATTTCAGAATATGAGTTTATGCTAAATACTCCCATCTTATGTTAAAATAAGACTTCACACCGAGGTCCACCATTTAGAGTAACACTTGGGTTGTACTGGGAGCATCTGCACAAATGTTAACAACCGGAAACACTCACCGTGGTGTACTCAAAGTAGTAAAGGCAGTTGTCTGTCAAGATGAACCAGCGTCGCTTCCACGTCTTCACTCGGCCACCTGCACAAGGGAGAAGCAAACTTGACAATGCGTGCCCAGGCCAAAAAGCTGGCTCTGGACACAAAAGCAGCTAAAGGCAAAGGCAGAGCCACAGCCTATGAGCACAACACACAGTAGCCGAGCACACGGTTGTCAAGAGCGCAAGCAGAGCCAGCCCCACACCAGAGCAGCAGGTGGCTTCCAGCTGAGCACAACAGCTTGGGGAAGTGGAAAAGGTTCCATTGATCAACCCTACTATACGCTACCGAACAAGCCTGCATCTGCTCTGCATAAGGATGGAGAAGAGGCAACAGATTTCTCCTAAGATAGACTGACTATGAGTAAAGTCTATGCTTTAGCCAGATCCTCAGATGAAAGTGCTCGTGAGGGTTCTACCTAAGTTCTAGGAAGCCCAATCTACACCACCCTCTCACCTCTTACTTCATAAACAACCCTTTTTATTACAGGAGAAAAGAAGAGGGAATTATTTACACTCCATGATAATTTGGCAGCCAGGAAACAGCCTTTTTGATCTTGATGCTCTCAGCCCTACCTGACCATGAGACACTATTGTATTTTAAGATACAATAGGGAAGGGAAAAGTCCTTGATCAAAATAGGTGACAGGAATAGCTATTCCCACCCCACTTGCCTTGTGAAACATTACTTGTGCCCCATGCAGGAAAAAGGAAGCAAGCTAAAGGGTCTGATGTTGGAATTTGGTCTTAGCTTCTTTCAACTCCATGCGTTCCAGGTGTCTTAGATTACTATCTCAGATCTATGATTCCCATTTTCCCAGCCTAAGATAGCAGTCCAAATCACTCAAAGGGTACCAGATGAACAAACATTATCCCATGTAAACAGGTTATTTTCAAATGAGATTTTCCCCAATAGACAGGGGATATGTCTACAAGGGGGCTGGCTCAAATTAAAACCTATTAGGGATATGTATATAGAGATCTCCTTTCCTAGTACTAAGTTCCTCACAGGTAAAACAACCTGGCTTTACCAGTTGCTAAACAACCTGTGTGTTTCAGACATTTATCCTTTACCAAGGAACACTCCAAAACAGAAGCTCAGTGGAAAAGACATAAATCCTGTCAATTTATTTCATAGTTCTTTTGGGCTCAAGCACTGGTTCTTTCTGGTTCCAACATCCCCCTTTTTCCCCAACTAAACTGTGCCCACAATTAGCCAATGGCTTTTTCCTGAAAGTCAAGTCAATGTCAATAGGAAGATTCAGATTCAGGGAAGCATGTTACTTTTGGCAAACTGTGGCAAACATTAAAAAAAAAAACCTGACCTCAGGTTTTATCAGAGATTCAGAAACTCTGAAGGAATTAGTACAAGCAGGTACTATTCTGAACAGTTACTTCCCAGAGAGACCACCAAGGTAACTTCCATCCACAACTGCCTGCCTTCACTCCTTAAAGGACAGAAGTTTGCACAGCCTCCTTGGGCTGGTCTAGTCAGTTTATGCAGGGGGGCTACTGTGGTTCCAGGAGGCAGAGCAAAGTTGAGAAGTGAAGAGGCAAAATCAGCTCAATCAGCAGTGGCTAATCTGGCAAATCCAGAATAGCAGAGTTGAGCTAACCAGAGATTACCAGGAGCAAAAATATAAATACCCACTCAGGGAGATTCTTACCACCACGTATAGGCACAGACAAACAACAAGACTTCATTCAAGCAACATAAAAACAAAAACAGAAATAAAGGGACAATGGTGGGTGGAAGAAGCCAATTGCTCCAGATAATGCCTGCTACAGTCCCCAAGGAACCTGGAAAGCTTCAACTGTTGTGAGTCCCTCTGATCATGGAATGACTGACTTTGTCACAAGTCAATATACAGTATTAAATAAAGACAAAGAAAAAAAAACCTCCAGCAATTCTCCAGCTGTATCCTCACCAGTATTTGGCAGGAGTGTTTTGCCCATTTCCTTTCACTGTAGACAAAACTCAGCTAAGAGGACAAACAACCTGTGTCAGCAGAAGACAACTTCCAAAAGAGCCCACCAGAAAAGAATGTGGTGAGATTGTTTCTAAGGAACAACAGGCCAGCCACCTTTAAACTAAGGCTTTCATTAAACAGGAAGAGAAGTGAATTGTCCATGATGATATTAAAACTAAGACCAACAATTGAGGATCAGGGCCTTGGATGAAGAATATGATGATTAAAGGTTTTTTTGTGTGTGTATTTGCCCTAACTGTGAACTAAAAAGCAACATATGAAAAAGATCTGCCACATGGAAATGGTAGGACATTGGGAAATAAATTGAAAAGAGATTTGTGATTCATCTTACAATGATCAGCTGTATGACGTAAGTCTGATGAAGGTTCGTGATGGCACTGTAATCATCAAGACTTAACTATAGCACCTGGGAAAAGTCTCTTGAAGCAGCTACATTTCTGTGAACTGCCCATTACCTAAGACTGGAGTGGTATAAACAATTGTGTGAAATACATAATGTATTAATCTGTGGTATACAAAGTGTAGCTGAAATACAACTCCCAGCATCCTTCACACTTAATGAGAAATGTTTTTTTTCTGTAATATCTATCCCAGAACAGGTCAAACAACATTTTGGGGTTGGAAGTCACACTTTATTTTTAATTATTATTTTTTTCAGCTTGTAAGCACCATAGGGAAAATTTTCAGTAATACTAAGAGCAAGGTGGGGAAAAAGAGAGAAGCTTTTAAAATTACTTAGTATTACTGAAAATATTATGGATATATCTATATTCTCTGTCATCCAGCTTTAACCCTGAATACTTCCAAAGGGATATGGGGCTTCCTCAAGCAAGGGCAAGCATCCTATTCCAGGGGAGGAATAAGGTGGTTGTTTTTACCTGAGCCCCATCATGCCCTTCCTAGCTCCTACCCCTCCTGAAGCCCAAACCCACATCCAGGCCTAGTTCTGACAACAGGAAGTACTTCAGGACTTTATAACCTGCCATACTCTCACAGAAGACATCCAACAAAGTCAATGTGGGTTTTAGAAAAGCAAGATGAAGAGGATAGCTACCTGATTCATGGTTTGGGAAAGTCACTCTGCTCTCTCCTTTTGGTGCCCAGCAGAACACAAGCACTCCCTCTCCCCACCTCTGCCCCTCACCACCCCACGTCTCCCCACCCCAGTTCCCCAGGGACTGTGCAGCCAATTAGCAATGGTGGCAACAATAGCAATACGAATAACATCAGCAGCAAGTAAAAAATAAAAGAGAACAGAAAAACAAGCAAGCACTGTAGCACGGCCTCGGCCCCAGCAAAGCTAGCAAGGAGATATGGGGGTACGTACCTCCTGAAGTTTGGGGGCAGGGAAAGGCAGAGCCAAAATCATGGAAACATACAAATGAGGGAAAAAGAAAATTAAAAAACAAAGGACTAAAATTTGCCCTTCGTGCACATTTCAGTTGCAGTCAGCCGTGGGCACTGCCCAAGCTAAACATTTTTGAGCAAAAGGGGAAAGGAGGGAGGAAGAGCTCTCCTTAAAGGGAGTCAACATATCTCCTACCTTAATACAAAAAAGGGAGGGGGGGGCTGATACATTTCTGGGGCTACCAGCATGCCAAGGCCTTTAATGCAGCAGCCGCTGGGATATTTGACAGAAAGTTTCACCTCTCCTGATTAATTCTTGCCATTGGCCATATCATGAATGTGTTTGCCACACAAACAGTTGACTGAGGAGTTAGTGATTTTAGTACCAAGGCAGTGGTGGGGGTGTTAAAATGGCCTGGAGCCAGGAGACCTCTAGGAGTGGGATGGGAAGGGCAGCATGCATCATCAAGGGCCAAAGGGTTCAGCCAAAGAACAGCCATATGTGGAGAAAACCAGGGTTATGTCCCACACAGTCAAGGCCAATGGTCCCACCTTGGTTCTCATGTTAACACTACCTCCTTCAACCCCCGCCCCTCTGGAACACAGCAAAGAAGCCTTGTGTCTCCCTCACAGTGAATAACAGAAACCTCCTCCCACTTCTCTGTCTCTACAGTGTACGCCTCAGTTTCCCCTTCTTTGCTGTGCTCTTTGCCACATTTTCCTGAGTTGCACAATGCTGCAGTTCTCCTTTTTTTAAAATGTCATCATCATCATGACAGTTCTAAAAAGATTTGGCATATGATGACAGGCATCATCCCCATTGTGGTTGTCTATTGAACATGGGACCCTGCTATTTGGGCAAGTCTTCAGGCTGCGATGTTCACTCCACTCAGAAAAACATTCATATCTTCAAGATAAATAAACCGGGAACATTTATTCCACTCTCTTTTGTTAACCCTGAGAAAAGTTAACAGAGGAAATATCCACACCAGGAGGCACTGCAGAATTGGGTTTCAAGTACAATGTTGGGGCTCTTGGCATTAATATCATCACAATTTGAGACACATTTTTAAAACAGTTGCCACAGAAGTTGAAATGCAAGTAACAAAACATTCTGTCTTTAGAACTAAAGTAAATTTGGAGGTTGTTTCCTGAAATGGAATATTAAATGTTGGAATTTGCATTTCACTTCTAAATCCTCATTTCTTTTGTTTCAATCAATGTCTCTTGCTAGATGGCAAGAATCTACCCTAAACCATGGCCACTTCTATATCTAAGGGGAGGCCGACAAACAACAACACTAATAACAGGCATTGTCTTATTCTCATAGTCAATTTGGCTATAATTTTATGGATTCATCAAATTTATATAGCCACCAGTGGTGGGATTCAAATTTTTTACTACCGGTTCTGTGGGCGTGTCTTGGTGGGTGTGGCAGGGGAAGGATACTGTAAAATCTCCTGTCAGAGGTGGTATTTGCCGGTTCTCCGAACTACTCAAAATATCTGCTACCGGTTCTCCAGCACTGGTCAGAACCTGCTGAATACCACCTCTGCACCCATCTCACACAAAAGTTGTGCTGTTTCTCAGTTACCTCTACTTGCTTAATCTCTTCAATGTGAATAATCTCTTCAGAACTGGGTCCAGCATGTAGCCAACCAAGCAGTCTTCAATTTTTACACTGAGCCATAAGAAATTCTAGTTCTACTGCATATGCAGCTTAATAATTCTGCCCAAATATTGCAGCTATTCTTGAATTTGCCATGCGAGCTAAATACGTTTGCTCAGAAGGTACTTAAATTCCTTTTGTGCAGCTACTCAAAGTGCAGTGAAATATTTTTCAATAATTTTTTTAGGAATTGTAAAACTGAAAATGGAAGATATTTCAATTTTCTGGTGTTTGCTGTGTAATTGAAAGCCATCAGATTTTCAACTAGGTAAACTATTTAAATGCAATGCCTATTACTCATTGAGCAGACGTGATACAGATAGACTACAGCTCCATCATCCCATGGCTGTCAAGGTTAGTTAGGGGAAAAGAAAATTTGAATCTAACTCCTAAAGCGCCATAGCTTTCCTATTCCCATCACAGAGAATGGAAAGTCTGGTCAGTTTGCTACCGAGCTAAGAGAAACCTTATCACGGGGAACTGTAATTATAATATGTATTAATCTTATATTATGTTCATATGGGGAAATGTGGTTATGTGCGCTTGTAGTAGTACACAACTGTATTACTGTTGTACAACTATATTACTGAAACACTTATCAGCCTATTCTCAAGACTATGTGAGGAAAGATCCAGGTTCCATAATACCATTAGCAAACCTACATTAGTTCTGTCATAAAACAAGATATTGTGATCCCTGGTCATTTTTTGCATGCCTTGATTGAAAGAAACAGAAGAAGAGGGATAGAAAAAAGTGGGGACTTAGAATCAGTTCTTATTTTGGACATCAAAGCTGATATATGTCTTCTCTCCGGCTCAAAGCAAAGTATGAAAAGTTACGTATGTAGAATAATTTCATTAACTTAATTCAGTTCAGATTCAGCAATTGACTATTTAAGAGATTTCCAATTTCCAATTTGATTTTTCAGATTTCAGGTGATTTAATATTCCTACAAGAGAGAGGGGGGAAAAAACTAGGCAAACACCCGTTCCTCAAACAAGCCCGGATGACTTTTCGAGCCAAATCCTGGCAACTGGGGGCTGGGGGGGACAGCTTTGAGTAAACACGAAGAGGGAGCCAAGAGCTGCACAAAGAGAGAGCTGGTGAATGCATCCTAGTTGACCTATTAACACTGTCAGTGAGCGCAGGAGCTGCTATGCGTGAAGTGATGCCACAGACTAGTCTGAAAAATGAAAGTGAGAAGCAAGGGACCATAGATAAGTCTTCAGCTTCTCTGTAGGCGGCTGTGGGTGCGCATTTTGGACCTAGATTCACCTGCGATTCCTGGGACCTAACTAACCTGCCTTTTTTCTTCCTAAGTACCTTCCTTTGCCCAATTTAGGTAAAAATTGGCTGGCCAAGCCCAACTTAAGAGGGCCGTAGGGAGTTACTGAGCACTGCAACCAAGACCCTCCCTCACTGGGTACGCTGTTCAAGAAAAGATAAACGAGAAGCTTTCAAGGTCGTACAGCTGGTCTTTTGTGCTGGACTGTGGCCACCGAGCCCCATGCAAAGAGACTCCTGCTGAGCTCCATGCTCCCTGCAGCCCATGCCACACCATCAGCAGCCCTGTTCCTTGTTGGTCAGGCCTTGCCTCGTGCAGACACACACTCACCAAGCTTCAGAAGCCAGCCTTCACGGTCCGGATTAAAGAAGGTGTGCGTCAAGTCATTGCCATCATCCTCGGGGATTTTGAAGGGCTCATTTTTTATGCTCTCATAGAGATTCTAGTGTGAGGGAGGAGAAACATGCGGTGGATCACTAATTCCACGGAAAGGTACTGCACCCCCTTTTCAATATTGTACAGGTGCAGTTTCTACTTCCCAAGAACCATGAACGTGTTTTGGAAGCTCAGTATTTGAGCAGGAGATACTGGGAAGACCAAGGTAGGCTCAACCCTAACCTATTCCTTGGTTCTTGGTGAGCCTGCCAGGCAGATAGACAGACAGTAGGCCTCTGTTCCAGCGATTCACCACACCCACCGAGTTCTCCATTATGGCCTAATCACAGAATTCCAGTCTGTTCTCTTCCCACAAAACTCACCCTGAGTAATTCCTCAGGTAGGTCCCCGCCATCATTGATACCACGGTTCATAGCGATGAAGCGCTCCACAGTGGGCTTGTCCTTCACGTTGGGATTATGCAAACTGGTATTCAGCATGATTATGGCAAAGGAAAGTACGTAACAAGTATCTGGGACAGAAAGAAAAGGGAACAGGGGGGTTCAAGCCAATTTGGGAACATAGTTTGGATTATACACTATCAAAGCACAAGATCAAATCCAAATTAGAGCCTACAGATAGACTTCAGCCTATGACCACAATTGGGGGCTAGAATTTCCATTGCTAAGCAAGTCAGTTGTTAAGTGAGTCACACCCAATTTTACAACCTTTCTTGTCATGGGTAAGCGAATTACTGCATTACATTATCGTTAAGCAAATCTTTCCCCATTGGTTTTGCTTGTCAGAAACCGGCTGGGAAGATTGCAAATGACAATCATGTGACCCCAGGTTACTGCAGCCCGTTGCCAAGCGCCCTGGTTTTGGTCACATGACCATGGGGATGCTGCAATGGTTGTAAATGGGACTGCTTGTAACTCATTTTTTTCAGTGCTGTTGCAAGTTCCAATGGACATTAAAGGAATGGTTCCAAGTTGAGGACTACTTCTGGAGCCCAACTTGACCTTTAAAACCTTTTGAAACTCTAAGCCAATTGGGGTCACTTTACCCGAAATACTGCTACCGTATTTATTTGTTTATATCCTGCATTCAATGTTTTTATAAGTAACTCAAGGTGGTAAACATGTATAATGTTCCTTCCTCCTCCAATTTTCTCCACAACCACCCTGTGAAGTGGGTTGGGTTGAGAGAGAATGTTGACTGGCCCAAATACTCATCTGGCTTTCATGGCTAAGGTGGGGCTAGAAAAATGTCCTGGGATCTAATCTGGTGCTTTCACCATTAGACCAAACTGGCTCTCATGTAAGACTTACTCATTTCTTCAAAGGCTATGTGTGCCTATAGAATAAATAAGTAGCTAGTAAGGGAGAGGGCTGCTTAAGAAATAGCTTTCCCAGAAATATGCATGAGTACCATCTTTATGGTTCTTCTGGTGTCAATGAAGACTGGGGGGGGGGGGTGCCCACCACCTTTTAAATAAGTCAGCTAAGATCTGTTTTTGCTTGACATCAAGGTTTTTTAAAATTTTGTCTACTACGTCATAAATTATAATTTCATGCTTAATTTTTGAATCTGTTTATTAAATTTGCTGTCCATCTGACCACAACGTAACTCCATTGCTGAGTTGTTATAAATTACTCTGTGATCCTTTGTTATACCATAGCATGTAAGCAAAAACATCAACAGCAAACTAAGAAGCATAACTGAGCTCTATGTTTCAAATTCTGGAATTCCAGGATCATTCACAAGTATTATCACTACTTTAAAAAACAGAGGGAGGGGGGGAACATTGTTCTCCCAATCCAGCTAGAACAAAAATAAGGAATGAGAACATTTTTAGTTCTTTGCTTCCATCTTCATTCATTTCAGTGTTGAATTTTTTCCACTTTCATCAATGAGCGTTTTCAGCACGGTGCATGCGTGCGCCTCCCAGCAGATTTTTGGCCCGTTTGAGGCTGTTTTCGCCCTCCCGGAGGATCGAGGGAAACCTCTGCAGCCTCAGGAGGCCAAAAAATGGACCTTCCGCAAATACCGGAAGTGCTGAAACGGGCTCGTTTTCAGCCTCCCAAGGCTCCAGAGGCTTCCCATGAGCCTCTGGGAGGGCGAAAATGGCCTCCCCCAGGCTCCAGACATCCTCTGGAAGGCCCGTTTTTCGGCCTTCCGAGGCTGCAGAGGCTTCCCTCAAGCCTCCGGGAGGGCGAAAATGGCCTCAAATGGGCCAAAAATCAGCGGGGAGGCGCACACATGCACAGTGCAGGTAAGTGGGCGGGGCGGGGTGTTTAATGTGCATGCGTGGGGGGGGGAAGAGACATTGCATTGTGGGTGCCGGCACGTGCACGTGCACGCTTTCGGCACAACACAACAAAAAGGTTCATCATCACTGCACTATACCATTTCAGACAAATAGTTGTCCAATCTCATCTTAAAAAGCTCGTGTTGGAGCACCCACAACTTCTGGAAGTAGTTGTTCACTTACCCGTTGACTGGAACACGCCAGGGTTGCATTGACAGTACCGTTGTGCAAATGCTTCCATCATCCGGTCAATTTTTTGCGCTTCACCTGGCAACCGAAAGCTCCAAAGGAATTGTCTGTGAGGGCAATGAAAATTAAGTCCATGTCCATTTGTGTGCTATATAGTTGTGAGGAAAGATGTAGCACAAATAACATTCTGTGCATCTTTCTCCTGGCAAATACAACTGTTGGGAATACAACTCTTAGAAATTTCTTGCCTACATAAGCAACCAGCTGGGAATTCCTACAAACCCAGCATATCTAATTGAGGCTAGCTTGACAAAGAAAGTGTTGTGAAAAATAAGGCTGATTCAAGGCAGGAATGCTTCAGAATTGTCAACAAAGCATCGGCATACTTCTGGTAAGATCAGAAAAACCTGTTTTGAGGCTGAAATAGGATGCAAAACTTTAACACACCTCTACCCATAGGCCACATCAAGAACAGAGCAGATCTGGACTTTCAAGTGCTACCAGACCCTCAGTAACTCCCACAACCCCAATCAAGATGCTGTATAATCATGGATTCTGATGTGTGTTGTGTGTGTGTGTGTGTGTGTGTGTGTGTGTGCCCGCGGCTTTGAGTCAGTTTTTCAGTCATTGTGATGTGGTTTGCCATTCCCTCAGTTTTAGGATTAGGAGTGTCAGGAGTAAACAACAGATCCATTAGTGAAGGGTCCAAGTCAGCAACTTTATGGTGTTCCACCTGTAACACAAGAATCTCTCCAGACTACTTGCCTTCTCTTGGGAATAACCAGATAAGGTTCCATGAAATTGAGGGTGATGAGTCAGGCTTATGCCTCTGGCAGCTATGCAAGGACCCAAGGCTAGTTCTGCACCAGACCCCTCCGTCCTGCCTGGCTGGGAGCTTCCCAACATTGAGAGGTTGACAGGCTACAAATCACATAGCTGGCCCTGTGCCTAAGGAAGATCTAGAACTCATGGTCTCCTAGCCTCTAGCCTGGTGCCTTTAACCACTACACCAAACTAGCTGTCTAAAGTCATGGAAGAGGCTAGTTAATCTAGTTAATCCAAAACCACGGGAAAGAAAACACAATCTACCTAGACGTGCATCTGTCTAAATAATATAATCCCTTCCTCTGTCACTCACCGCAGTGCCTGTACGAGGTTGAGATCTGTAAACTCATGCAGCTCCACAAAAGAATGTAATACTTGGATATTGAAGTCATCTCTGAGGGAAGGAAACAGAATACATTGAAATTCTGGACCGAGCAATTTATTACTTGTTATAGATCACATCATATACAGGTGACAGAGCTTGACTGTAGTTAAGGTCTGTGTTTGCTCCTCCTGCTTAATAATTATATGCTGAATCCATATAGCTTAGAGTTGCTACTTTGATGGTCCCTGAATCAGAAGGATCTTCCCATTTCCTCCTTTCTGAGTACAGCCTATACACAGGTAGTCCTCAACTTACAACTACAACTGAGCCCAAAATTTCACTTCAGTTAAGTTAATAACAGGGTTTGAAAGTGAATCTGTCTTTCCTTGTCAGAAAGTCACAAAAGAGGAACAGGGGATCCTGTAACTGCATAATTTTGAGCCAGTTGCCAGGTGTCTGAATTTGGATCACATGACCATGGAGATGCGGCAATGGTTGCATGTAAGTGTGAAAAATACTCATATAAGTCACTTTTTAAAGTGTTGTTGTAACTTCAAACAGTCACTAAACAAATGGTTGTAACCCAAGAACTACCCATACTCTACTGCTGAGTTTGGTCCTTTCTCTAATGTTAAGAGGAACAGTGTGTGAAGATTAACATGCATTCCATTCTCTAAGAGGTTGATTACCTTTCACCCAGGTAGTCGCCAATGGCAGTCTTGTTGAGTCCTTCCCCCTTGTAGAGGAACTGGGCAATGTCCTCACAGGTATTCTTCAAAAGGTCATTCTCTATGAGGAACTGAATCCCCTGCAAGTCCGGGGAAGAAGAAGAAGAAGAAGAAAAAAGGAAGCTCTTCAAACATTCGCTGTGCGAGGGCATAGAAATAAGAACTTGTAACCTCTGCCAGGCTATTCCACGTGAATTTTAAATTATCCTAATGGATTACTTTTATTTCAAGCACAAGGGACTGCAGGGAGTTGGAGGAGTCTGCAATCAATATTACAATAACTTGCTTAAACTCACTTAATGAATTCTGCAGCAGCTGAAGGTAGCTTGAAATTATTTCCTGACCCATGGATTTAGCCCAAATGCCACACTTTCTCAATGTTCATGAGAAGGCCTAACTAACTGAACCCCCAGCAGTGTTGGGGTTGTGTTAAGCCGTGTTAAAATCTGCTTTTAACAAACAGCCTCACCCTTACGTTAACCCTGGATGGAGAAGGGAAATTACCGACCTTATTGCTTATTTCCAAAAAATCCTTGGGAGAGATATTGTTCCGAGAGATTTAGCAGATAATTTGGGGAAAGAGGGAAAAACAGATGAATAAAAGTAAGGCCCAAACTGATAGCAGCCAATTGGGATCACACCCTTTAATCCTGTTGATATTGCAGGATGTTGTCTGACGTATGGTTGCTATTAATACCACACCAAGGATGCAGCATCATTTACCTTCTTAGGATCCATGTTAAATTTCTTCCGGCCCATTGCCACCTGCTTGTTTCTCTGCATGTTTTTCCTAGGTAACACAAAAAGATTTCTTAGTCTCCTTTGCTACAAACCAGTCTGTGGACACTACTTCTATAATAATCTTTGCTTGCAATACAGCAGGGCTGTCAAACTCCTGGCCCACGGGATGGATGTGTCACACGCTGGCCACGCCCATGCCCGGTTTAGCGAAGGGGAAAGAAGTCATGATATGTCATGTGATGACGTCGTGATGATGCAAGTTTGACACCCCTGCAGTACAGTTAATCTTTTCCTCCATCTTCCATTCTAACTCAAACCTTAAACACATTCTCATCCCATGCTGTTTAATAGTTGATATTGTGGACTTCCGGTTTGAAGGGCTTCGGCGACAAACAGGAATACGCGATCGTGCGCGGTTTCTGCCTGGGCTCGCCGCTGGAGCGCCCCGAGCTGGCTGGTTTCGGGGCTAAGCCACCCCGTAGAGGTGGTGAAGAAGGGGGAGACTGCTAGCAGGGTCGAGGAGAGCCGCATCTCTCCTCCTCAGCTGGTCAAACTCCCTTTCCCGAAGGCAGTAGGAGCGGTGGTCAGAAATGGCAAAGAAGCATTCAACCGGAAAAGAACGTGCAGGAGGAAGATAAGAAGTGAAAGTTTTGGCTGACCGGGCTAAGTTGAAAAAGCAATAACTAAGGTACCCTGGAATTTAAATTTTACAAGAAATAACATTGTTCCCAAAGAAGAGTCGGAAGCAGCGAAAGAAAGTGAAAAGGGAAAGGTTTGGCTTTTTTTTCCTTCTCTCTCCTTCCTTATATTGACAATTAAGAATAAGAAATTGGGAAAATCTGCTTTGGCATCAATAGGCAATTAAGATGAAAATATAACCAAATGCCAAAGGGACAATAAAGATTTCTGGACATTAAACACTTTTTCTTCTATAAGCAGGAAGGGAGAGAAATAGAATAAGGGCGGGATCTGGAAGAGGGAGGAGACTGCCTGGACTTTAAAAGAATCTAAAGTAAAATTTCAATAAGACTTCTAAAAGATACATTTTAACTGAAACTTTGCAACTAAATAGTAACCCCAGGAAGAGAAAGTGGAAAAAAAAGAAAGAGTAAAAAGAAACAGTTTGTGTGTATTTGGATTACTTGGTGACTTTTGGATTTTTGGCTATTATATTTGAATGACTAAAATCAATCGGGTGGTTGTTTAAAATTTTTTACAATGGCATCACTTTTCGATGAATTGAAAATGGAACTTAAAAACTACAAAGAAGATGCACAAGAAGGGAAGGGTTCCTTTGGCTTCGTTTTTCAATTTTTAGAAATGGAGATTTGGAACTATGAGAAACAACAAGAAAAGACTGCAAAACAAGAAGACTGGGACAAAGAAGAAGCCATCTTTAATGAACAAGTAACTCTATGTGGGGAAGAAAAAGGAAAGGGGGGAAAGAGGATGGAGAATCTAAGACTTAAAAAAACAACCAAAGAAAAGACAAATTCAAAAAATAAGTATAATACTGGAAAATAACAGAAAAGGGGAATACAGAAGAGGGAAGTAGAGGTAGAGAGACAAAGGGGTAAAAAGGGGAGGGAGAAGAAGAGAGGGAAGAAGGAAAGGAAAAGAAGTTACAAAGGTCCGGAGCAAGATATAAAGAAACAGGACTATATAGAGATAATGGGTGAAAATTTAACTGAAAGGGGGACTCTGTAAAAGTACATGAGATTGTGTTGTTATATTTGAAATAGAAATAACTTCAGAAAACTGGAAACAACATATGATTAGAAAGAGGGATAGAATGGTTAGTGTAACTTAGTGAAATGTTTGTGAATAAAGTAAATGAAATAAAATAAATGAGAAAATTGAATTAGGAAGGAATGGGAACACTTTAATTAGTCAATGTTTTATAAAATATAAGTGAAGAGGGGTATATTGAGTATATTGAGTGTTATAACTTTAGGGGAAAGATATAAAGGTGTCATACTCCAATCAGTAACTACAGGAGAAATTTTGTTTAATGAGAAAAGATGATAGACAATTGAAACAGAACAGACAAAAAATATAAATATAATGATTTGAATTGAGATGAAATAAATACAATAAAACTGAGGAAATTAAAAGAGGGGAGAAGCTATGTAGAAAATGTAAAATTGTAATAAGATATGGAATAGAATATAAAAATGAGCATGAACCTGAAATTGTGTCTGCACGAAGAAATGTAACCCGGGATTATGCTGCTTTCAAAAAAGATGTTTTAATTATGTTTCTTTTTGTGAAAACTCAAATAAAATTTACAAAAATAATAATTGATACTGTGACTCTAATGTCCCTGAAAGGCCTTATGGCCCAACCTAAAATATCTAAACACAAGAAAATTCCTAATTTCTATAACAAGATGATCATTCACTCTCAAACATATTAGGGAATCTAGGTAACAAGATTCATTTCTCAGAAAATTGAAATCAGCAAAAATCTCAGTAATATGTCATTGAATATTTTCATGAGAAAATCTCCAAAAAATGTTGGCTTTTTAATGTAAACACTAATGTGCTGCATATATAGAATGGCATGTTTGTTATTTGGATTAAAAATCAGACACTGAATTCCTAGAAAATTGAATGTTTTCATTCAGTAGGCAAGGCACTTTTGGTTTTATTTATGAAGGATTTATTGTATTGTTCTAATTGACTGCTATTAGTCCCCCAAGTTCTTGTATAAGACAGGGCAGCCATTTAAAATTTCTAAATAATAATCCTGAATACCCACTAACATCAGGATTTATTTTCAACAGGTTAGAGATTTTGGTAGAGTGATTACTTCTTTCTTTCCAATATTCATTCCAAAAATAGTGAAATGCCACCAAATTTCATCTTCCCACTTCTCCATCAGGACTCACCTCTCTTCTGTGGAGCCCAGATTCTCAATTTCATTTGTGACCTCTGCTATCTCATCTTTCAGACGCTGTATAGAAGAACAAGGGGGAAAGTCATGAAATAAGTAATGAAGTGACGCTTTTGATCAACTGGAAGCAGGGAGGAAGTTGTGTTTATTTTTAACCTCAGAATGGAGAACAACCTTTATTATACCAGCCTTGGCTGAACTCTTTTTTTATACCAGCTTCACTTTTTCAACTTTCTAATTCAGTTCTGAGAATGTTTAATGGAGGGGCAGGGTGAAGAGAAGAAAAGGTTACACTTACAGAATATAGAAAAGAACTCTTGACTTTCAGTGGTAGCATGAATTTGGTTAAATTCATGCTACCACTAAAAGTCAAGAGTATAATAAATTGAGATTTAGAAGCATCCAATATCCCAGTTGCAGCTACAGATCTAACAATCCAGTGGTGGGATTCAAAATTTTTTACTACCAGTTCTGTGGGCATGGCTTGGTGGGCATGGCATGGCTTGGTGGGCGTGGCAGGAGAAGGATACTGCAAAATCTAGATTCTCTCCCCACTCCTGGGGGAAGGTTACTGCAAAATCTCCATTTTCTCCCCACCCCACTAACCTGCTTTCCAGCTCCGTTCTCCTGAGCAGGGCAACCAAAGACCCAGCCAATCAGCTGGGACTCAGGAGGCAGAGAATAGATGGGGTCGGGGCCAGTCAGAGGTGGCATTTGCCGGTTCTCCAAACTACTCAAAATTTCCGCTACCGGTTCTCCAGAACTGGTCAGAACCTGCTGAATACCACCTCTGTAACAATCTGATCCCTGTGGCTTGTTTAAAATCAAGGGACCTTCACTGTTCCTTCACTGCCCATCTTCTGCAGACAAAGCTTAGGCTAGGGTAGCCAAAATGAATCAAATCTCTCTGTCTTGGCTCTGAGAGCCAACTAAACCACCAGCATGCTGGCCTCTCAGCGGAAGGAAGAAGAGGAATCCCTGGGGCTAACACAATTACTGGGCTAATCCCATTAGCAAGTGCCCAGCACATGGCAGTGATTAGCCCCTGCTGCTGCTTTATTTATTGCTGATGGTCTTGATGAGCATCTGTGCCAAGCAAAGCTCCAAGGAGCAAGTTGCTGCAGGGAGCAGGCGGCCCCTGCCAGAGCCAAAAGCAGATCTATCTGGCTAGTGGATAATGCAATGAGTGGCAGGGGATGCAATAAAGCCACCTTTGAAAACGGACAATTTCTTGAGGGAAAATTGCAAATTAAAAAAAAGAAAAGGCTCTATCTTGGTTTGATAAGGAAAGAAGAGAAAGCTGAAGGAAAGGGGGACAGGAGTAAAGGGGGGATAATAAAATCAGATAATTCCACATCCTCCTCACTTCTTTGACAGATCTCACAGGCCAGAATGGGGATAACTTGGGAGCTGTGCTGTGCAATTGGATCTCCTGGCCATTTCGCAACTCCCTCTCCTCAGTGTTGAGAGTCACGGCTGCCCACACATCTGCAATATTACAACTCAAGACCCTCAACTGCACAGACTCTCAGGACCACCTACAGGGAAAATCCTTTGGGAAATTGAAACCACCAATTTTTAATTTTTCAAAGAAGAAAACTTATCCAAAGATAGAACCACCGGCTCTAATCTACAATGTCCAAGAGTCGGGCTATAGTTTCACTCAGGGCCAAGGGAAAGAAAGAGGCATGGGAAAGGAAACCTGAACATCTTTAAATTTAGCTTATCTTAGCACTGAGTAACAACACAGCAAACAATTAAGTCCCAAAGGGAATAAGGGATGAGAAGCCAGAACAAAAGTGCCAGGGATTCAGAGTGAGAGAGCTGTATCCCAAAACAGGGATTAACTCATCTTGGAAGAGGAATGTGAACATGTAAAAAAAAAGTGCTACCTTATGTCAAAAATAGGGCACATCAAAACCTATTAATTTCACTACTGCTTCACCTCTTCTGCAGAAAGCTGTTTATGTGCAGTCAAATTATTGCCACCCTCCATATTATTGTAATTGTCAGCAACTCTTAAATATTTCAGGCAGGTGCTCCAGAGACACGGGCTTTAACCCAAGCCATGGCCTGCCTGAATTGAACTTCTATTCCCCTGCCCTTTCCACACACACACCTGTATGTCTGCCAGCAGTTCCTGCTTCCGCCGACGGATATTCTCCAATTCTTGACACTCCTCAGGGGTTAGGTCGCTTGGTACTGCAAGGTGAAACAGAAAGAGTTATGCTCTAGGTTTGGAGTTGGTCTGGATTGTCTTATAGGTCCCCTCTGTAACTGTAGAATGTGAGGTAAAGACTTTTATGAATTCAGCAGTTGCCTGTGTATCAAAGGGATGTAGAAAAGAAAGGACTAGAAAGTACAAAGACTATCAAGAATGCGTAAGTGAAGGGTGGAGATTGCTCAATATTTTTTCTCACTAGACTAGACCAAGGGCAGGTGTGTGTGTGTGTACATATACACACACTATCACAGAAATGTTCTCCCATGGCCAAGGATGCTAAATTCTGGGTTAAACACTGGCACCCCCAAAACTTCTCATTTGAAAGACATACACTCAACATTTACTCAGGTTCAGTGAAAGAACACAATTATTACAATTAGTTTGTTCTCTAATATAGATTTTCTAACATCCAAAGGCTTCTGATAGCCTCCCAAAGCCATGGATCCCAGCGAGGCCATCCAAAGCATACCACTAAAGGGAAAAAGATTCCTAAATACTGTGCATGGGGTTTCCTTACATGGATATTTAATTAATGTAATTTAAAATAAAAAGAACGTACATTTAATTTTTATTCTGGCCCCATTCCTTGGTTGAGTGGGACTCTCTGAGTGTTAGATTTCTGTCCATAAAGGCTGTTCATTTTTTATCAATGTAATGACCAACCTGTTCTGTGAGAAATGACAAGTCCCTGACATTATAGGCAGCACAGCTTTCTATCACCAATTATGCTACTAAACTTTGGGGTGTACTGCATATGCCTCCTTGCACACATTCTAGCCATTTTACTTATCTTTCAGCCTTGAGCTTATAAATTTCCAAGGCACATCTGGCTGGTCCCATTAAATGCAAAAATGCTGAACTAGAGAGACTCTTCTTCTGATCAAGCAAAAATAATATTTTCAGAAAATGAGAAGTGGATCTGGAGTTGCAACACAAAATGCCAAGAATATTTATTGTAAATCTGATTTCTTTCTGATCAACATGCTTCCTTATCGTATTACCTTCTGGGCATAATCTGTTTTTAACAAAAAAGATTCTTAACAGCACTACAGCATATATTTGCACTTTGGAAGAAATGTTTTAATGTTTCTTTTGGGATGGGGAACAATCTTAATGAGATTTGATATGCAAGGAAAATGTTATTTGGTTTTACCAGCCAGCAGAATCAAGCTCTCTTAGGCTATGGTTTTTCTTTTTGTTGCAAACATAAAATGACGAATGTATCTTTTCTTTTATGTATACAGAGAGTGTTTGCACTAAGACAAATTCCTTGTGTGTCCAATCGCACTTGGCCAATAAAGAATTCTGTTCTAAAATGGCAAAATCAGATTGTGCATATTAGGTTAGAGAAGGCTGTATTAGATCAAAAGTTCTAAGTGCACACCTTGAACACAGCACAAATGCTACAAATCTGGGATTTGTAATTTCTGGGAGAAGAATTAGAAGGCATTACTGTATTTTCTAAGAAGGGAAAAACATATAAAACCATGTAACATTCACTGAAAATGTGGAAGTATCAAGATACATTCAACATTCCTAGGAGAATGACATGCTCAAGATTTCAAATGAGAATGTTTGTTTTTCTATAATGCTTTGCAGAATGGATTTTGCCATTTCACAACATGGAGAATTTCACTGCATGAAATTTCTGCCTTTAAGACAAGGCAGTTGCAGAAAAGTTAGCACTCCCCGAGATATATGCATTCTATTTTTACAAAGTACATGAGCTTTTCTCAGTTCTAACTCTTTTACAAAGCATGTCAGCCTAACGTTAGCTTCTGCATCACTCTCTCTTTTCACAAATCTAGATTTATACCAGCAGGTTTAGAAAGCTAATCCCAGGAAGCATGATCTGTTTCATACAAACCAGGTTGCTGGCAATGGGTTGATATTGCAAATGACCCAAGTCTGCTCCAATTACAAATCATAGAGAACATCTATCCTATTATTCAGAAAAATCCTAGAACAGCTTCAACTTTTCAGAGTGAATTAAGATGTGCAGATGTGCATCAGGTGGTGAACAGCAATCATATGCACACAGCTGTGCCCTATCTTCAGAAGCAGTTTGAGAATCCCACTGCAATCTTTTGATAGTTAATCTGGTTGACCCTAGAAGCAATACCAGAGTTAGGCACAAGGGCTCAGTGGAGAAAAGCTTTGCATCTACTGGCTTTATGCCTACTGCAAGGACATGTGAAAGAGATATTTATCTTTCTAACATGCACGAGTTCAGGAAATGGAGGAGGCATGGTGCCTCGGGATTCCTAGGAAAAATAAGAACTTAGTTGAGCATCCTATCTATCATATGGAAGAGGCAGAATGTGATAGCTGAAAGAGCCAGTTCATTCTAGAATTTTGCCCTACATCTGCACAGTGGCATACACAGACTTTTGCATATGCAGCCCGCATTGTAAGACAGCCTGCAAATGCCACTAGAGGAGTTCAAGCACATTCTCTTTATTACAGATGCAAGATGCCCTGACTCAGGATTTTGGCTCATTAAGTTGGCTTGAAATAAGAGTCAAGATGAAACTCCTATTAGGATATCAGATGGGGAAGACCAACCGCGGGTATAGACAATCAGGAAATACGTTGTTGGTTTATCGGTCTACCTGGCAAATGCTCATAGTATTGGGTGGGTGGGTGGGAAATATAGAAAGCAATGGGGACCATGTCCTAATGGGACTACAGATTTCCAATTAGGAGTGGGAAGTCAAATCTCTCTAGTTAAAGCCAATTCAGAGAGCAGAGTTCCTGACACAACAAGGCTTCATTGTGTGACTGCTGGAACAGAGAAGCCGAACAAGGAAAGTGCCTCTTTCTTTGCTTTGTAGTTGGACACGAGGATAGCAGCCTAAAGCCAAACTTCCTGCAGCCACAGAATACAAAGGAGGATGGTCTTAAAGAGGCAGCATCTTCTCTTTCCATCATAAGGGTAAGAGATAGAGCTTTGATGTTTAGCTTAAGTAATTCATGTAATTCAGATACTATTATAAGACTGACAGCATTCATCTTCAAAATTGATTGAGAGCTTTATAAGATTAAATGTGAAATTATGTGAAGTCCACTCTTTCCTATAACTTTGATCTCATTCCTGGTCATTACATCAGTCTTTTTACAATAAAGTTTCTCAACCTGTTTGTAAACCCTCAGAAGAAAGGCAAAGTGTCTTTCCAAGAATGTGGAGAACATTTTTCTTTTGTGAAAAGAATATTTCTTTTATCTGAGGAAGGTGAAAACAAGATTCTATACCTTGCTTCATCTTGTCCTTTTTGGCTATCAATGTTTCCCACTGACAAACTAGAGAGGTGATCATCAAATCAATAGAAAGGGAAAAGTTCAGGGTCTACTCTGAAGTTAATAACTGGTTTGCATCACATATAGACAAACACAGAAACATGATGTTGTGCCCAATAAAAGTAAAGCCAAATGCTTCTGTGGTCCTCTTATTAAAGAGCATAACTGTATGGAACAGGATAATTGTGCACACATCTGATTTGTAGTAATATAAATGTCTCCTCCAGGTCAAATGGGCAATCCTAGACCCATAACATTACAACCTCAATGACTCAAAACAGGTTCCTTAAAAAGACAAGGTAGAACTTTAAGGAGATGGTATAATCTTGGAGGAGACCTTAGAGCAGGGGTGTCAAGCCCAAGGCTGCAGGCCAGATCCGGCCTGTGGGGTGCTTAGATCTGGTCTGCGGGGCTGCCCTGGAAACAGCAAAGGACTGGCCTGCAGCACCTCTGCCAGCAAAAGCAGGCTCCCAATCTCCATTTTCGTCTGGGACAGCCTCCTGTAACCCTCTGCCAGTGAAAAC